GGGGGTGAGAAAAGGCAAAAGAGCTTCTCTTTTTATCCAAGTTTTTTTTTTTTTTGGATGTGTGTCTGTGTATGTTTTGTTTTTAAAACTTTCTACTTTTTAAATTTTTAACTGACAACATAAAAGGTGTACAGTTAATGAGGTACCATGTAATGCTTGATACATATATGTATTACATAATGTTTAAACTGGGTTAAAGGAAGTTATTTTACTTTATTTATTTATTGGTACCAGGGATTGAACTCTGGGGCGCTTGACCAGTAAGCCACATTCCCAGCCCTATTTAGTATTTTTATTTAGAGACAGGGCCTCATTGAGTTGCTTAAAATGCCTTGCTTTTCCTGAGGCTGGCTTTGAACTCACGATCCTCCTGCCTCAGCCACCCATGCTGCTGGGATTACAGGCATGCACTGTTTCATTTTTGAGATGAGGTTTCATTATGTTGCCAAGGTTGGTCTCAAATTCTTGGGACCAAGGGATCCTGCTGCTTTAGTTTCCCAAGTAGGGACTATAGGTGCCTGCCACCAGGCTAAGCCCTTTTTTCTGCTTTACTAAGGTTTAATTGATAAAATTGTATATATTTATGGAGTACAATGTGATGTCTTGAAATATGTAAACACTGAAATCATGTTAATGATCATATTCCTCACTTCACTTTTTCCCTCCACTTGTGGTGAGAACATTTGAGATACACTCTACTAGCCATTTTCAAGTAAATAATATGTTATTTATTAAGTRTAGTCACCATGCTATACCGTGTAGTATTTGTGTTTCTGTGTCTAGTTTATTTTTTTCAGCATAATGCCTTCCAGATTTATTCATGCTGTTGCAAATGACAATGATCTTCTTTTTAAAGTCTGAATAGTATTGCATTGTGTATATATACATTTTGTTTATTGTTCATCCACTGAYGGACACTTATTTTGATTCCATAAATTGGCTATTGAAAATGCTGCTTCAAAGAACATGGGGATGCATATATTTTCTCTTTTACTATTGGCTTCATTTTCTTTGGATACATACCTAGAAGTGAATGTTTCCATCATATGGCAGTTTTATTTTTTAATTTTCTGAGGAACTTCCATAATGTTTTTCCTATAGGTGTACTAATTCAAATTCTCACCGAGAGTCTAAAAGTGTTTCTTTTTCTCCACATTTTGCCAATACCTTTTTTTCTTTTAGATAGTAAACATTTTTATAGGTATGAGATGTTATCTCATTGTAGCTTTTTTCATTTTCCTGGTATTAGTGATGTTGAAAATTTTTTCATTATACCTGTTGATCATTTATGTCTTGATAGATCTTTATTTAGGACCATTGCCCATTTTTAAAAAGAGTTGTTTTCTGCTACTGAGTTGCTTGAGTTCCTTATATATTTTGGATATGAATCCCTTATCAGACATATGGTTTTCAAATATTCTCTTTCATTCTTCAGGTTGTCTCTTCATTCTGTTGATCGGTRTCTTTGCTGGCTGTAGATTTTTAGTTTGATATAATCTCTTTGTGTCTAAATATGTCTCTACAGCACTATTGGGGAAGTTGAATATTTTACTGTAGTTTGAATATTTGAAATTTTATTGCACTGTGCTATCAGTTTATAAAATGAAGAGAAAGAGAAAATTAAATTTTGATCATAAGATAGGTAGTTCTCATAAATATACAAAACTGAAATTAAAGCAAGGATGTGAATTGTCAGGTGAAACTATAATGGCATCAATTAGAAGATTAACTAAGCCTGTAGACTATGTACTGAACTATGAAGTAAAGAACAAATGCAAAATGCTAGAAATAGATCATCAATTTTGATGCCCAAAGACAGATATATACACTGTGATTACTCTGGAAAGGGAACCTCATTTGTCATGTATATCAATTGTTTGACTTTTCATTTAACTGACAGCTTGTTCTATGAAAGCATTATATTTTAAAGTAGGAGACTATTGATAGCAATCTACTAATAGTAAAGTAGTTGGATTCAACAATGTTACTGTTATAGGATGTGGTGGTATAATCAAGGACAAACTCTGTTTTGGGGAGTTTGTAGTTTAGTTTGGGAAGCAGAATGTCAATAAATAGATTATTGAAAACTCAAAAGAAAACAAAGAATAGAAAAGCAAATATTCAGGCTGAAAAACATTTTTACAAAGTAAGATGTAGTTTAAAGATATAAAAAAATTTTTTWAAAATGTGTATTTCTTCAATGTGTTTTTWAATAGGTTATCTTCCTTAAATTGTATTTGGCTTACTCTGCAAACATTTTTTGAAATTATTTTGGTTAATATAGTTTTATTTAATGGAAATAAAACCACAATATATATGTTCAGATAGTATTTTGATGGCATCTTTAAAAAGAAGCAGTTATATAGCTGTAAAAGAATCGTAATGAACTGATGAAATGGAGCAGAGAATTAATTCAAGGTAGCAACTCTCCCTCCTTGTCCCATCAAGTATGTTTTGGTTCAAAATGTATTTTGAAAATTTTCTCAATAGCTTTATACTACATTAACTATAGGTGGTGAAGGTAGCCTAAAGTGTTAATTTTTAAATTTTTTTAAGTAGAGAAGTTAGTTTGTGAAAATATTATTGTGGGTATATAAGAAGTAGCCACAGGCAGGAAAGAAATCAAGTAGTGATTGCAAAACTGTTTTTGCTAAACAGTGTATTTGCTAAAACACAGTCTCTCAAGGGTAAAAGGAGTAGCTGACTTACTTTCATTTGTTTTATTACTAGGTTATCATTTACTAACATATTTACTCTGGTAGAGTAAATGTAGCTTACTAGCATTACTCAAATTAAGATACCTCCTTCTTATGCCTGAAGTCCAAACAATTGTTAGAGCTTTTGAAGAGCTTATAGTCTAGTTAATGGCAACATAGTAGAGAACAAACATGTTTGTCTGAATTACTGCTTTTTCATRGTTCTACTGACAGTAGTTTTCTTGTGATTTTTTTTTCCTTCCCTAGTTGTATCATATGATAGGAGGTCCTCAGCCTCTGGAGTTGGACAGAACTTGCAGTGATAATCTAATTTTGCTGATCYTCAATTTCCTTGTTTGTAAATGGGTGTAAKAATTACAAACCTATAGTGAGGAAAAGTGGTAATACGTGTAAAGTTCTTAGCATAGCACATCATAGCAGGCACTCAATATAATTCTGATGATGATGATGATGTATATGAATCTCCTAAAAATGTTTGGCACACAAAATGTTAATTTTATCCTTTTCTCTTAGCTGGGAGAGAATTAAATTAATYAATTAAATTAATCAATAGTTGATYTAATTAACTATTAATAGCTCATAGCTGAATTGAAACAAATAGACCCTGGGAAAATTTGCAGAGCTTTTGTCACCTGAATAAGATAAGCTTGTAAAGAAATAAGAGTTGTTTTTAGTGTTTATGGTGAATTTATAGTATCATTACTGAATAATGACATASATCAAACTTTGGTCAAGATTATAGGTTATTCAGAGGACTCCAATTAGGCTGAGATTAAACCAACATTTTTCATTATAAAATATAAAAGTACACCTAGTCAACAGCTTGTCATTAGGCAAAATTTAAGAAAACACTTATAAAAATGTATTTTTAAACTTTATACTCAAAAGATAACAAAAAAATTAGGTATTTTTTTAAAGCTTTGGTTTGTGCTAAAAACTTAAAAAATGGACTCATGACTATAATAAGTTAATTGATAATAAAGTTTATTATCCATTACAAATATACAAAAATGTATCTTCGAATATTGGCAATTTTCCTTTAAGGAAGGATTGAATTTAATGTTTGGTAAATGGGAGTTTAAGAAATTTCAAATATTTGTGTTAACTACATGAACAAAAGAAACAAAGATAAATTAAGTATATCTAAATCCAATAGCAATATTTTGAATAGGAAAATCTTCGGAAAGGAACACACACACTTCAATAGTTTTTTAAATTAAAAAAAAATTTTTTTAGTTGTAGATGGATACAATACCTTTATTTATTTATTTTTATTTATATGTGGTGCTAAGGATTGAACCTAGGGCCTCACACATGCCAGGCAAATGCTCTACCACTGAGCCACAACCCCAGCCCCACTTTAGTTGTTTTTTTTTTTTTAGAGAGAGAGAGATGAGATGAGAAAGAGAGAGAGAGAGAGAGAGAGAGAGAGAGAGAGAGAGAGAGAATTTTTTAATATTTATTTTGTAGTTTTCGGCAGACACAACATCTTTGTTTGTATGTGGTGCTGAGGATCGAGCCCGGGCCGCACGCATGCCAGGCCAGCGTGCTACCGCTTGAGCCACATCCCCAGCCCCTTTTTTTTTTTTTTTTTAATATTTATTTTTTAGTTGAAGTTGGACACGATACCTTTGTTTGTATGTGGTACTGAGGGTCGAACCCAGGGCCTCACGCTTGCTAGGTGAGCGCGCTACCACTGAGCCACCACGCCAGCCCCCCCACTTTAGTTTTTTTTTTTTTTAATTTTTTTGTAGTTGTAGATGGACAGCATGCTTTTATTTGTTTATTTTTATGTGGTGCTGAGGAACCCAGTGCCTCATACATGCAAGGCAAGCACTCTGCCACTGAGCTCCACCCCCAGCCCTTCAGTAGTTTTTTATGTAATGCTTGTAGAAGTGGTTTTCATTCCCCTTGTGTTATCATAGAGCATGGTGCCCACCTTAGGTTTCAGTAACTCTTACTATATGGTATGTACAAGTACATAGTAAAGTTGAATCAAATCTGGTGATAGGCAAAAATTACTTAAAAATGAAGAGCACAAGAGAAGAGATCATCTGGAAGTGATGGCACACATACAATTAATTAAAAATGAAGAGCACAAGAGATCAGCTGGAAGTGATGGCAACTAGGAGGCTGAGGCAGGAGGACCGTGGATTCAAGGCCAGCCTCAGCAATTGAGTGAAACACTGACTCAAAAGAAGGCTGGGGATGAAGCTCAGTGGTAGACTGCCAATGGGTTCAATACCAAGTGTGTGGGGGGAGGGTGCGGGGAATCACATCTATCCCTAAAGTATAGAGGTCAGAAACAATGATGTTCCAGCTAACTTTATAATCCTGTTTATTGGCATTTTAAAAAAAGCATACAAACACAAATTTGTCAGTGCACACAGATGTTTGTTTATATAACTCAATGTCTGTCTACCACAGGACTTCTTAACTCCAATGGAGAACTTGTTAGGTATTTTTCCAAAAACTTGCAAAATTATATAATAAAACTATCACAACTACCTTTAGGAACTGCTTTAAGTTTTTGTTGAAAAAAGTTTGTGTCTAATTCCACTGAAACTGTACTATAAAACTGAGATAGTTACTGGCAAAAAGAAATAAGAACAGAACTTCCAATGCAAATATATGATGTAATTGGCTACATTAAATAATTTTAGATAAAATAAAGTCAATAAGTAAAATAAATTTAGTCCCAAAAGTTTGGGGAATCCTTAATGACATACTTTTAGTCATCATAATTATCATTATTTATCATTATGTTGCCACTTAAAATAAGCCACAGGCTTAATGGGTATTTTTATTGTAACTAGACCAATTTATTTGGAGATCAGGTATCTAGCAAACTCAAGAGTCTAACACAGAACCTTAAAAAAATCTAGTATACAAAGATATTCTGTAAGTTCATACTTTGAAGCATACACAAGTAATAAGAAAGGCCTTAAGTAAGAATTTATTCAATTTAAAAATTCTTGCAAGTATTTGTAACATAGTTTAGAACCTTAACAAAAAGTAAAATATTTCCTAGGTTTTATAGTTTTCAGAGAGTGCATATTAATTCACAGAAAAGTCCCAGGCTCATCTTCAGGCACATTATCCTTTATTTTAGATAAAATTCCTCCTTTTCTTTTTCCTTTTTGTGGTGCTGGGGTTTGAACCCAGGGCCTCATGTGAGGCAACCACTCTAGCAACTGAGCTTTATCCCCAGCCCCTACAAAATTCCTATGGACTTGACTGTCTGGACTCTTAGCCTGCAGTGAATTAACATAGGAAAGTGAAGAACTGACTGAGGCAGACTTGTTACTACCCAACCTGAGCAAGATCAGGTGATGGAAAAGATGTAAGGAAAACACAGGTTTGAAAAATAGCAAATTTGGGTCATTCAGTGAATTGTAAAAATTCTTCAATAGTACCCAGATATAGCAAAATATTTGGATCCAATATAATAGGTGAAATTCATATTGATGTTCATCAACTAATGGGAAAACATTTAAAAAACTGAGTATATCACCTTAAAGACAGATAAATATAAACTTTAGAATTAATTATATTTAATTATATTTAAAATGGTTAAAGTGAGGTTTAGACCTTAAAAAGGTAAGCTTTGATTATGTGGATAAATCCATTGTGTGGACTTCTCATTTTTCCAATAAAGTGAGGCATAACACTATAACTCAAAAACCACGGAACTAATTGATTTATGCATAGTTGAATGATTCATCAGAATACATGCAGTGATTTTTTTAAAAATCATCGATTCCTTTATTTTCTAGCTTATATTCTTCTAAAGTTCCCTTTTCTCTTGTACTGGAATATGTTATAATATCATGAACTTTTCCTTTCAGAACATTCAGTTCATTTTGCATCTTTAAGAGGCTATTATCATACTGAAGTCCTTCAAGGGTTTTCTGCATCTCCATTATTTCAGATACAGCTTTCAACATATCATCTTCCATATTAAACATCTGCATAGTGAGGTCTTCCATTTTCTTTTCTGTTCCTATCAGATCCTGAGAGACTCTGAGAACAGAGAGAACAGCACTTTCAATTGTTGGCAAATGAGTCTTGCATTCTTCAACTTTGGGTTCATAGCTGGAAAGTTTATTAGTCAGATCTTCATCTCTGGCAAGGAGAGCATGCTGTTCCTCTTCTAACTTCTCAACTGTTTTTGTATCAGAGCTAAGCTGCTCTTCTACTCTCAGAAGATCCTCTTCTTCTTGTCTTTTTACTGTTCTAATATTTCGTAGTGTGCTATCTTCCAACTCTTTTAGCCGTTCAGTGAGTAATTTTATTTCTTGCTCAGCTGAGTTAATTTGGACAGTAACTTGAGAATGTATATGTTTTGCTTCTGATTTGAAAATGTCTGTATTATCATTCATTTCTGCTAGGCTTCTCTTCCAGAAATCTGTAATATTTTGGAATTTCTCATTAAGCTTTTGCATCTTTTGAGTGAGCATCTCTTCACTGTTTTGAATGTCATGCATGAATCTTTGGAGGCCGGATACTTCCTGTTCAAACTGGGTCATCAAAGACATGGATGACGTAGCTTCCTGCAGGATACTTTCAGTAGACTCAAGCTGCATTTGTAACACAAAACAATTCCCAAGGCTACTTAATACTTTTTATATTAGAGACATATACTTTTAACTATTAGGAGCATAATAAATGCCAAGTTCAAATTCTGACTAAAATATTCATGACTAAAATATTCAAGTATGTCAGAATCAAACAGACAAACATTTATTACTTTCATGGTTGTTTTAACAAATAAATACAGATTAGCCCTTTGCCACAAAAATATAAACCTAAATTTATAATCCTACGTTTTTTTGTTTTTTGGTACTGGGGATTAAACCCAGTACCACATCCCCAGGCCTTTTTTGTGTTTTATTTAGAGACAGGGTCTCACTGAGTTGCTTAGGGCCTTGCTAAATTGCTGAGGTTGGCTTTGAACTTGTGATCTTCCTGCCTCAGCCTCCTGAGCTGCCACCATACTTGGTGCTATAATCCTAGATATTTGTGCTTTGCCATGGAAACATATTCAAGAGAAACATAATGTAAAAAGAAAGTCTGAAGTGTATCACACTGTCCTCTTTTTCACTCAAATGGAGTTAGTTAAGATGTCATGTTAATGGTTATTTGATTTTTTTAGAAATTGCAATTTAGTGTAAAAATATGTTATTTTCCCTAAAATCTATGATTCTGGAAGAGTTTCTGCTTGAAAAAAATTTTTCTTGGCCAACCTTTTATGCATAAGGTACTAGAATCAGATCTCACAAAGCAAATATGAATTTAAAAAAAAGTTTAGTGATAAAGAATCGTAATGCAAAAATAAATAAATAAATAAAGTTTAGTGAGACAAGTCACAAATGATAAAGTGTTGTAAGTATCAGCAACTGATATTAAGCTCCTGCTACACCTCTTCATATATATCTGGACTATGAAGACCAGTCCTGGTCTTAATTAAGTCTATATTCACATAGATAATAACTTCATAGATTATAGAAATGCCTAGAAATGATCATTAATATATCAAATGTTTGTAGAATTGTGTTAAAGACATAACACAGTTCTGCCTTTAAGCAGTTTAGTTTAACTGGGGAAAAATGCATTTATCTGCATTATAACAGTGATTTTCCATCTATGGAAGCACCTAGGTGGAGACTCAACCCAGACTTCAAAGATCAAGAAAAGATATATTATAAAAGAAGTATTATCTAAATATCTGCTTCCAGTCATTTCCTCTCTAAATAATCCAACACACTACTATCACTTAAATTTTTAAAAAACTACTATGCACAGTATGGTACAATAATACCTTTCTTTGTTGATGCTTCCTAATACTTTCTTTTTTTTTTGGAGGGGGGGGTAGTACTGAGATTGAACCCAGGGTGCTCTACTACTGAGTATGCCCTTTTATTTTGAGACAGGGCCTTGCTAAGTTTAAGTTGCCCAGGCTGGCCTTGAATTTGCAATACTCCTGCCTCGGCATTCCGAGTTGCTGGGATAAGAGGCTTCAGCCACCACACCTGGAGTCTTAAGCTTCTAAAGAAACGTCCATAGCCATAAGCCTGAGAGTGGGAATTATTGTAGCATCTATTAATGTACTTTCCAAAGTATAGTTCAAAATTTTTGAATGTTCACTCTGTGCCAGAGCTAGTGCTAGAAATTTTATAAAATATAAACACAGCATAGTTCCTGATTTCAAATTTGATAGGGGGAAAGTATTATGGATCTTCTGTATTATATATTCTATAGTCTCAATAAGATCTATCCAGCGTCTTCTATGAGCTAGTTTCATTTCTAGGTGCTAAAAAAATAGCAATAAAAGATGCAGTGTTTGCTCTACAAGGAGTAAGGGAGACAAAGAAATTAACAACAAATCAGAATGGGCTATGATTAGTGTCACTGTCACCAAATAGGGGTATGAGGAGGTCCTTCCAAGGGTGCAGTGAGACCTCAACTTGGCCCAGGTGGGCTCTTGACTTACTCCACTGAAAAGAATTGACGATGCATTTATAAAAGACAGTAAAGCAAAGATAGATATATCCCAAAGGCAGGGTGTGGATGCCCCTTGTTTTCATGGCTTTTTTCTTCTGGGGCATTATATGCTCATCTTTCTCATGAGGCAAGAAGAAGAGTAATACACCCAGAGTTGAGCTCTCTGACTATATGTAGTACTTTCTTGCAGATTCCCAGGTACGCTTTTGTGAAAATCAAATCCCATGTCAATCATTTGATATTTGGCATTCAGAATGTTTTTTCCAATTTAAGCAGTTTAGCTATAAATCATTTGTGGGTACATTGTATAGGTCCTTTTTTTTTTTTTTAAAGAGAGAGTGAGAGAGGAGAGAGAGAGAGAGAGAGAGAGAGAGAGAGAGAGAGTTTGTTTTTTTTTTTAATATTTATTTTTTAGTTCTCGGCAGACACAACATCTTTGTTGGTATGTGGTGCTGAGGATCGAACCCGGGCCGCACRCAYGCCAGGCGAGCGCGCTACCGCTTGAGCCACATCCCCAGCCCCAGGTCCTTGAATCTAGTGATATTTAAAATTTAAATTGATTATGCTTTTGTTCTAATTGATCTGGTGCAATCATACGCTGGAAGTTTTGATCATCTCACTAGACACAAGTATAGCTGGTCATGCTCCTAGATTTGGGTCTCTAATCTAGTAAAGGTTTCTTTTTTTCTTTGTCTGAGAGCTCACCTATCTCACTGTGACAGAAGTAACCCAAGGAGCAAAAGATTGTAGAGGAGAAATAAGTCAGGAGTACAATAAAGAAAGGTTTAAAAGTGACTCTGAAGTCTGACTCATTAGTAGACTGATAAATTAGATAAAGAAGATCTGAAAGTTCTAAAGACCTTTCAGGAAGAGATACATGTCTTGTGTTTTTTTGTAGTCCCCATTTCTCAGAGAACATAAAACACATTTGTTGATGCCTAGGAAGAAGGGCAGACTTTATAAAAGCCTTTTGGGCTCATCCCATTCAAAACCTATAGTATTTCCAAGTGACAGGTGGGAACAATGTGCAATAATAATACTAACTAATAAGATAAGACCACTCTGAAATGTTTTTTAAAAACTATTTTAATGCACTCATGTAGCCATAATACAAATTCCTTTAAAAACCAATTCTGAGATATACTTGTATGTTGGTAATTAGCAGTATTTTGAAGAACTGAGCATCTTAATCTAAGATGATTTCCTGTGTAAGCTGTTCATCAGAACATCACTGTAATCTTGAGGCAATATAGCCCAAGTAAACAATCTATTTTTCAGTATAATAATCTCAAGCTTTAATTTGCAAATTATTAAATGACTGATACACTACAATGGTATAGTTTGGCTCATGTGTTAAAGGCTTGCAGCAATGTTCAGAGGTGGGACTTTTGGAAAGTGATTGGATCATGAGGGCTCTGATATTATCAGAGGATTAATTACTGATGAATTCATAACTTACCAGGCTATTGGGAGGTGGTGGAAACTGCAGGAGGTGGAACCAGTTAGAGGGAGTGGGTCTTTGCAGGCAGCAAGTCCTGGGTGACTATATATTGTTCTTAGCCCCTTCCTCACTCTTCCTCTTTCTCCTTCCCAGATGCTCGGATGTGAGCAGCTTTGCTCCTTCCACACCTTCCACCACAGTGAACTACAACATTACCACTGGCTCAGAAACAATGGAGTCAGTCCACCATGGACTGAAACCTTCAAAGTCATGAGTCAAAATAAATCTTTCTTCTTGTAAGTTGATTTTCTCAGGTATTTTGTCACAGCGAATGAAAACTAATACATCAYAGTAACTAGCATTTATGGCTGCCAATATATTCTAATAGTTTTTCACTTTTTTGAAAACAGCCAATACCTTACCATTATTTGTAGCTGAAAGTTTTTAAACAGTTTGCATATATATCTCATCCTGTTATTTCTCACATAATGAATGTTGAATAGAGGCCAAGGGAAGTTCAAGTAATTTGTTCCAAGTAACCGAATGGTGATGAGAGCCCACCTCTAGTTGTTTTTCCCTCCTACTGCATTATGCTGACTTTTAGGGCCAGCTTTGGGAAAAGGCAGCTATTATTAAAATACTCCTAGAAAAGAACTATAAAAAGACTGAATACTTCTTGGATTCAATGATGATATTTTTAAAATATTTCAAAAATTTTTTGTCACCAAAATATTTTATTTAAAAAGGAAATCTGGCTTTGTTCAAAATTTATTTTCAATAGCTTTTAGTTAAATATATGAATTCTAGTACCTGAAATTTTTCTTTCAGTATTCCAGAGTGCTTATAACCAGATTCCAATTTGAGCCCTATGTCAAAATACCAAGTCCTTTTCAGTTTCTTCCCAGAAGCCCATTATGCTCACCTTTTCCATGGAATCCTCTGGCATGCATAAATCACTCAATTTTCATTCATGACTTTTTTCTTCTGGGGCATTATGTGCTCATCTTTCTCATGAGGCAGTAGGGAATTAGACCCTCCATCATGTCTGTCTATATTAACATCTTTACCACCCTGGTGCCAACCACACGCTGATAACATGAGTAAAGGTTTAGTGATGGATAGATGAACAAATGTGTTTCCCAGTGATAGCTTGGTCACTGCTAGCCAGATACAGCCCACATGATCACAGTGGATCCTCTTCTGAGAGATGTGGGAGTGACAAGATGGTTTCATATTTCTAAGAATCACAGTAAATAATGCATCTGCTGGAAATCATTTGCAATTTGAAGAAACATCTTTATCTTTTTGTGGTGCTCAGGATTGAACCCAGGGCCCCACACATGCCAGGCAAGCACTCTACCACTGAGCTACAGCCCCAGCCCCTACAAGGTGTTATTTTAATTTTCATTAGAACTCCGGCTATAGAATCAAAACTTATGTTTAGGCTAGTTATTTTTTTTTTTCTGACAGACCTGTTATTTTTATATGCATATACATACATTCTTAAAATGTGGAAAGAAAATGATAGATGATCTATAAGTGCTACTCATATTCTAATTTTATATGTAAAGCTCAACGATGTTTTCATTGCTCGGGTAACCTGACACTTGAAAAAAATTAACATCATATCAATATGAACCTATCAGTTTTTTACTTTTTTTAAGTTTTAAATTTTTTAAATTTATTTTTTTGCAGTGGTGATGATCGAACCCAGGGCTTTGCAAATGCATACTGGTCTTTTTCAACAGTAGACATTGTTATATATAAAAATCCATGTCCTTTTAAGGTGCAATATAAATCCAAATTGGATCAGAGGAAGAATGTCAAGAGGTAGGAAGATCAGTKAGTTGAAATAGTAACAGTTTAACAGGCAGGAAGAAAGAAGTTCTGAGCTGGCATAAAGGAAGGCTAGAAGAGAAGTAAAATGGGAAAGTCTCCCCAAATAAATTAATAATTACCTTTTCTGAAATTAAACTGATTTCACTTTGAAGTCCTTGGAACTCCTTGCTTTCCATTTTCAGTAACTGGTATTTGTTTTCTACCTCTGCAAATTTTTCTGACTGTTGAAATACAAACCTGGGAAAGATTAAAAGAAAAAAAGTCACTATGGCCCTATTCATATTCATTTAAATTTGAATTTCAAAGAAGTATTATACCCACTTCTGGTAAGAACATAAACTCTGGTAGCAAGCTGTAATTTTTGTCAGTTTATTTCATTTATAACATGCAGATAAATACTATGTGATAGGTACTGCTTTAACTCTTGACAAGAGTAAACTCTGTCCTTGTTTACATTTCACAGCCCAGTAAGACAGTGTGATATCTGTAATAGATGTATGTACAAACAGGAAACATTTTGGAGAAAGTCATGGTAAACTATTTAGAACAAGCTCTTTGATCTAAACTATTTTTCTCAAAGCCATATTAGGACACTTACCTAGAAAGTGTTTTTACAGGAGAAACAAAAAATGTAGGAAAAACAAAGATTATCTATAAAAAGTACTTAAAAGCTAAAATGTAGAAGAATAGACTCATGAAAAGCAAAAATCATGATTTGGAAGAGAGAGAGGTAATTGTGATTAGAAGGTGCAAAATACAGGCTGGGGATGTGGCTCAAGCGGTAGCGCGCTCGCCTGGCATGTGTGCAGCCCGGGTTCGATCCTCAGTACCACATAAAAAGATGTTGTGTCTGCCGAAAACTGAAACAATAAATAAAAAATTCTCTCTCTCTCAAAGAAGATGCAAAATAATAGAAGAGGCATGAAAATGAAAGGAAGCCACTGTCAAGGTGAAATACATATGTAATGCAGGTATATAAACCCTACAATTGATTATACTCTACAATACAACTCATGTAGAGCAGTTCAGATATCATTCTAAAATAGAACTGAAGTGGGCCTAGTGGCACATACCTGTAATAGTTTTTATGTGAAAAAATAAAAATGACTGGGAATGTAGCTCAGAGGTAAAGTTCCTCTGGGTTTAATCCATGGTAACAACAGAAAAGATGAGAATAATAGGACTTAGAGGTGTAATTCAGTGGTAGATAGTTTGCCTGGCATGTGAGAGGCCCTGAGTTTGATCATAAGATTAAAACAATAATGAGCCTGGCACAGTGGTGTATGCTTGAAATCACAGTGACCCAGGAGGCTGAGGCAAGAGGATTGTAAGTTCAATGCTAGCCTCAGCAACTTAGTGAGGCCCTGACTCAAAAAGTAAGAAGGGCTGGGGAAGTGACTCTGTGGTAAAGCACCCCTGGGTTAAATCCCCAATACCCAAACCAAACCAAAATAAAAACAATAATAAAGTTGGAATATATTCTTCATCAAACAAAGGTAGAAGAATAAAAAAGGTATCCCAATCTTTAGGGGTTAAGCACCCTAAGTTCAATCTCTGGTACCAAGAGAGGGAGAAAAAAAAAAGCAATGGAGCAGAACCAAGTGAAGCACTTAAGTAACAGTACCTAGAAGAGTGGTTCAAAAGCTCCCCTGTATCTTGGAATCACCTGGCAGCTTTAACAAATCTTATACCTGGGCCTCACCTGCAGAGATTCTGATTTAATTGGTCTAGTATATGATGTGAACATTGAAAATTTAAACAGCTTCAGAGGTGATCTGAATGCACAGCATGAGGACTACTAATTGACCATGTTTTGTAAATTCATTTCCATTGAAATGAACTTAACTTAAAAACACTTAAAGATTTCAAAGACTTCAAAGAGAGGTAAAAGACTTTTTTTTTTTTTWAAGTGTAGCTGACTTGGGTATTCTTACAAAGGCAATGGTGTTTTGAACTCATAAATGATATCTTTAGACTTCTCAGTTGTTAAAGCTAAAATGGATTCTTCTGTTTTTTTTTTTTTTTTTGGCTTTTTAAACCAACAGAATGTTGGATGAAATTTTTCTTTTCTTGGGGTACCAGGGATTGAACTCAGGGGCACTCAGCCACTGAGCCATATCCCCAGCCCTATTTTGTATTTTATTTAGAGACAGAGTCTCATTGAGTTGCTTAGTGCCTCACTTTTGCTGAGGCTAGCTTTGAACTCGAAATCCTCCTCCCTCAGTCTTGAGAGAACCTAGGATTACAGCATGCACTACCTTGCCCCATTGAAATTTCTTTTGATGGTACAGATTAATGTCTGTCAAGAGATACTTAGTATAATTTCAGGTTATATAATTAGCACAGATTCTCCTGTGTGTCAACATGAATTTTAAACAAAACTTCTGGCTATTAGAAAGCCTTCATTTCCTAATTTCTTTTCTTTTCTTTTTTTGGGGTACTGGGTGTTGAATCCAGGGGTACCCTATGAATAAGCTACATCCTCAAGCCTTTTTATTTATTTTTTAAGCAGTCCACTAAGTTGCCAAGGTTGGGCTTGAATTTGTGATTTTCCTGGCTCAGCTTCCCAAGCAGCTGGGATTATAGGTATGCAACACCAGGCCTGGCTAGGTTCATACTTTTCAAATATGGATGGGTAGACAAATTAAAAAAAAAAAATATATATATATATATTGTGTAGATGGACACAATGCCTTTATTATATTTATTTATTTTCATGTGGTACTGAGGATTGAACTTCAGTACCACATGAAAATAAACATGTGCCTCACATGTGTTAGGCAAGCACYCCACCACTGAGTTATAACTCCAGCCCCAGACGAAATTTTTTATCCACTTCTCATTCTTGAATTTTAAGATACCCACCCAACCCTCAGTATAGGTTTGGTTGAGGTCAGCCTAAAGAAGTAAAAGCTAATTTTAGGGGCTAGTTTTATCATCCATACTCCATAGTATTACTTCATGGATTGATTGTACAGATCAGCGAGTTTATTCAGAGTAAAATCATTATAAAAAAGACTGAATCAAAGTTGACTCACTATAAAAATGCATTACAGGATTTTCAATTTTATCAAATATTTTAATGTTGTCTGTCTCTGGACTTTTCAAATTCAAGCATTAAGTAAACACTTGAAGAAAACTGACACATCAGTAGAGATATCATTTCTGATGTTAACTTGTAAGGTTTTTCTCCTCTTATGTTTAACCTTTCACAAAAGTAAAAAAGTACAAGATTCAACCTTGCTACATATGAATAGTGCATATAAAAACATGCAAAAAGTTGACTTATTGATACTAATGAAAAAATGAAAAGTGGTCTGCATGGTGTTGATAAGGCATAATACATTATAATACATTTTATTTCCATTTAAATGTGCCACACTATTCTAAATGCTTGATCAACATTAATTCACTTAAAATTAAGGAAGAGAATGACTGATTTTCTAGTCAAGAAAGTACCTACGAGAGGGATGCTTCAGTTTTGAAAAACCAAGTTTTTTTCAATCTGGCATCCAGATTTGAGCCCAAGGTGCTTCATTTTCTTTTCATGAGTCAGAGGCATATTCTAACAGAACCATTTCTAATCTTTTAGGTGAGTGTGAAAGACCAACAATTAGGGTCTGCTGAGTGGTAGAGCTTCTAGTGAAAGGAAGAAAATGACTAATTCTGGATTTGGGGGATCTCTATTTCTAGAGTCTGGTCTTATTTTGTATTAGTATCAAAGGAAGGGTACATATACAGGTTAAGTATGTAGCTGGACCATCTTGGCTCTACCACTTATTAGCTATAGTAACCACCTTGGACAAATTAAACAACTTTTGCTCATTTCTTCATCTATAAAGCAAGGGTAATACCTCAAAGGGTTATTAYAGGGATTAAACAGGTTAATATTTATAAAAGTTCATAGAATAATACCTAGAGTTTAACACATCAGCTATTCTATTTAAGTACATTGGCCCTTTCTTTTTGACTATTTTGTACAACTGTTTTTCCATCCTGCCTATGTGTCTATGGTTTATAAAGGAGCAGATTACCTTCTGTTTACCTGTACTTGTCAGCTAGTCCTATCCCTGTCTCCTTTGAACATTAAGCATAATTTGGGTTGGAGCTATGGTAAATGAAGTATAGAACAGATGGATTAGACCACTTACAGGTTACTAAAGGAGCATCATTCTCTTATCCTACTTTGGGATCTCTTCTTGCTATCACATAGGTAAGGCCCTGAAAATGTTAAATGTAGGACAAAGGTTAATTGGCTAAATTTAGTGTAGGCCTTCCAAAAGGAATCTTCTTCATTCTATCATAAACCATTGCAATCTACAGAGACCTCATATAGATTTAGGGCTCTGTAGCCCTAATGGTCTACTGCCTCTGTATGGCTCCTTCAGAATTGTAGGAGGTAGAGACAGTTGATTGAAGATGTAAATACAGGATTTCCTTTGGCTCTTATTTCAACTTAATAATGACAGAGGCAAATGACTAAAGGAAGGTATTATAAACCTTCTGCAAAAAATTTCTAGTGTCACTAGCAGGGTTGGTACATACTTAACCCTATATTTCATACCATCTACAGCTTCATTTTTAGCACAGAACCCAATATTTAGAAAAACACTGAACATATTTCATGTTTAAAGTACAATCCTGTTTTAAAGATAAAACTCTAATAACAATAATAGCAAAAGATCTAGAAAAAGTTAGCCAAGAGTATATAGACAAAGTTATACTGGACGATAAAGGAAGAAGAAAACCCTAAATATTGTTTAGAGAGCTTTTGAATTCTTTTACACAATTATAATGTCATGAAAATCTTTTATAAAAGCAACTTATAATTTGTTGAAATTTCCAGAAGAAAATTAAAATCTTCACAATGGAATTAAAAAACATTATTTTTTTTGTACTGGTGATTAAAACTTTATCACTGCACTATGTCCACAGCCCCTTTTCTTTCTTTTTTAAAAATTGGAAGCCAGGAATGATGGAGCACGCCTGTGGCTCAGAAGGCTGAGGAAGGAGGATCATGAGTTCAAAGCCAACCTCAGCAAAGGCGAGGTGCAAAGCAACTCAGTGAGACCTTGTGTCTAAATAAAATACAAAATAGGGCTGGAGATGTGCCTCAGTGGTCAAGTGTCCCTGAGTTTAAACCCGGTACCAAAAAAAAAAAAAAAATTGAGACAGTGTCTTGCTAAGTTGCTGAGGCTGCCCTCAAACTTGTGATCCTCCTGCCTTATCTTTGTAAATTGCTAGGATTATAGCTCCAGTTGACTGAATTTCTAGGTAACTAAATATCCTTGTGTAAAAGGTTTTGTCTTGTTTAGTAACTTCCTTTTTAATTTTCTGAAAGCAGAATCTCTTCAATTATTTTATCTGAAAATTTTCTTTTAGAAATGAGATATGCAAACTGACACTGAATTCATGTCTTGGGCCGCTCCAGTATTTATTATCAAGTTGATGTATGATGATGTATCAGGATTTTATTTAGCAGASAGAAGATAGGAAAACAACACACTTTTAAGTTTGTTATGTATTATTTCTGTTTATTTTTCAAACAAGGACCCAAAGACTAAGATCTGAAGATACTCATATATTGTGATGCCTTGAAATCTTCCTGGGGCACAAGGGTTCAGACTTTCTCAGTGAGACAAAGTGTGAGAGGATGCATAAGCAGTGTTTATAGGTACACATATTCACTGTTATATTTTAACAACTGAATAGTGTCAGTTAAGTTACCATTTAATAAGGATTTGGTAGATTGAGTTTTTGAAGCTAAAGTATGTGTTCTAATGGTAAAGATTTCAACTACTTTGTTATAATTCTGTGCTTTGAAAGTATTTAAGAAATGGCAAATGTTTGCTCTTTTATTTGGAGAATGTTTGCAAATGTCTTACCAGGATAAAATTTCATCCCCAAATTTACCACGAATATTTTGCTATAAATAGCAAACTAAATGTATATACTCAATTCTTGTGGCAAAAGATTTCTCAGGAGCAACTTAGAGTCAACTATTTTAGTACAGTTGTAGATTCTGTCCATTTTTTTTTTTTAAGAGAGTGAGAAAGAGAGGGGGACAGAGAGAGAGAGAATTTTAATATTTATTTATTTTTTCTTAGTTCTCTGCGGACACAACATCTTCGTTTGTTTATGGTGCTGAGGATGGAACCCGCGCCGCACGCACACTAGGCGAGCGCGCTACCGCTTGAGCCACAATCCCAGCCCGGATTCTGTCCATTTAAAAACAACCTTTTTTTTTTTTTTTCTTTTAATGGTGCTAGGCATGGAACTCAGGGCCTCAAACATGCTGACAAGTGCTCTATCACTGAGATACACCTCTAATCCTAAAAATAATTGATTCAGTACTAAAAAAAATTATTTTTCAAAGTCATAGCTCAGATGAAATCTTTCAAATGAATGTAACATGTTTTTGTCTTTCTACAATAAAAACAAAAATCCCTCATAGCAAATTCCTTAGATGAAGCATCAGCTTTTCAAGTTTTAAAGTTTAGTTTTCTATTAAGTTTTCCCCCAAGACATAATCAAATTATTGAATGGCAGCTAGGCATGGTGGCGCAGGCCTGTAATCCCAGTGACTTGGGAGGCCGAGGCAGGAGGACTGCAGGTTTGAAGCTAGCCTCAGCAATTTAGGGAGGCCCTAAGCAATTTAGAGAGACCCGTGTCTCAAAATAAAACATGATGGATGGCGGGGCTGAGGATATAACTCAGTTGGTAGAGTGCTTGCCTTGCATGCACAAGGCCCTGGGTTCAATCCCCAGCACCCGTTCCCCCTCCACACACACAAAAAGAGAAAACAAAAAAACCAAGATGGGGGTGGGGGAGGAATAGAAGTTCCCTGGATTAGACAAACAGGGACAAAGGGAATGGAGGGGATATGGGATATAGAAGCAACTTATAATTTGTTGACAGTAGACTTAATCGGACATAACTTTCATATATGAATACACAACCAGTGTGTCCACATCATTTACAACTACCAGAATGTAGTTGTAAAACTAAAAAGAATAAAAAAGTAAAACATAAAAAAAGAGTTGGGGATGTAGCTCAGTAGTTAAGCACCCTGCGTTCAAACCCCAGTACCAAAAAAAAAAAAAAAAAAAAGTCTAGATTAAAGGTCTGGGGTTTCTTCTAGACTTCTATCACTTTGGAAGGTTGTGAAAAATGGAGGAAAATTCTATTAAAGTGTCAGTGTTGTTATAAAATGAAACAGATTATCTTGGGAAAATAAAACAACTAGTTTAAAGGTTATTTCTAATATTTATTTTCCCCAATGACACCAGTATATCATTATTTGTTTGGCTTAAAAACTACAAATGTTTACACCTAAGTAAACACAAGTACTACACAGAAATTTTGCAGCTTCACAGTTACGGTCAAATCTGTAACTTAGGTTTTATATTCAAACGTATGTACATTGATGGAAACGAGAAACCGTCCAAATTTTGCCATTAGCATTAATGTCTGTTGAACTTTCTTTAAAGTTGCAAATGTTTCCATCAGGTATTTTAGGGACAGCTGGGATGGGGTCAATCTATCGCGGATAACGGTTTAYAAAAACGTGAAAGCTTCTGACGTGTAGCAGAAGCGTGGCTGAACCTGCAACGCTTAACAAATGGCTGACTGGTTCCCAAATTTTAGGCTCAATTCCAGTTGAGSGAAGAGGGGCACGTTTCTAGCCCGGAAGAAAAATGAGTTACAAGGAATGAGCGAAAGAAAGAACAAAGTTGGGCCGTATCCTTCCTCTGCGATGGAGGCAGAGAACAGAAGCCGCAGGCCGGGGGATGCAAGGTTAGCGGGATGTGAAGCCAGGCGACGCAGGACGGGACCGTGACCTGGAAGAGCGGGGCGACGCTGGTTGGGCGCCAGCGGCCCGCGACCACTTACCAGGCCAGGCCTAAGCACGTCCCCAGCGACAGCAGGCTCAGGCCGGTCCTCGGGTCCGCCCAGCCGCTCCCTTGGGCCTCGGGGCTCTTCCTGCCCTCACCCAGTTTCACGGGCTCTGCAGGGGCTCCCTTAGGCCCCGGCTTCTTCCTACTCTTCACCTCGGACATGTCTGGACGCCCTGAGGACCGCTACGGCGGGGAGGCTGTTCACCCACGCGAGCGGGACGTGGCCGGCCTCCACTTCTTGGGAAGCCTCGCCCCCTTACAGACCGGGCAACGCCCAGAAGCCAGCTCCATCCCTCTCCCGGCCATCCTCGCTCCTTCGTCGCGCCTCCCCGCCTCCGGGTTCCTCCAGCTGAGGAGCGCTGCAGCCACACCTCCCGCTTCCTCTGCGTAATTGCCGCAAGCGCGAGGAAATCGAAGCTCGCGGGCGCGCGCAGGCTGCCGGGACTCCTGGGCGCGGGGCGGGGCCGCACGCGCCACGTCGAGCCCTCTGCTCCGAAGAACGCGGCGCGCCCTGGTAGCGTAACCACGCCCCCACCGAGGGATGGGAGGGCGCGTCCCTGTGCGCGCGCGGAAACGCGCCGGGACGGGGGCGCGCGCGGCGCCCGCCCSGCGGACATTAGGGTGTGTGCATTTGCACGCGCGGGCACACTATTTGGACTGGTCGGGCTGGGCGGGGTTTGACTGCTCAGCGGTCCTGAGGCGGAGAGGAGGCGGTAACTAGTGGACCCTAATGCTTTAGCCCGGGACGGAAGGGATAAGGGAGCCCGAGCGAGGGGCAGGGCTGCAGGCGACCCGCAAGGATTTGAAGTAGCCGCGGCGAAGGGCGCCAGGGTCCCGAAAGGTGCGACTCCAGCCGGAGGGAAGAGCGACAGCTCTAGTGGCCGTCCTCCCTTTGTGTCTCCGGGCAGGGTCCGCCCGCAGGCGGGGCTTGCGGGGGTCGGGCCACTGGGTGACACCCCCTCCGAGGGCCCACGGATCTTCCTCACTCCGGGTTGCGGTGGCTCTGGTGAGGACCTGCCCGGGCTGAGGTCGCGGGGAACCTGCGCCCCGCGCCCCCATTCCCCGTCGGAAGTCGGGGTTATAGTACTCCGCCACTGACCTGCACTCGTGCAGTCTGACCCGGCAGSGCTGCTCCTCCCGGTAAGACCTCTGCACAAAGGTTTGGCTAAGTTTACCTCCCTGCTTTTCTCCCGGAACCAGGTTCTTTGGGGGTTCTCTAGGCCATTTCCAGGGACTGAGGATTTGGGGACATGGAATATTTGATAACAGTTCTGCTTCTGTACCAGGAAGAGAAATTATCTAACGAGGAAGTAGTAAACTATTAGCATTTTCCTGGGTGAATTTAGCATTTACTTTGTGTTTTACATCTATGAAGATTTTTGGCTTTTGCATTTTGATGTGTTTACAAAAGATGGGACACTTTGAGAATTTGTTCATATTTCAATTTGTGCAAAGTTTTAAGAAGTATTTAAAACTCATATCTGTAAGTTTAATAGGGCTGGGTAAAACTGGAAGTTAGTTTGAAATTGCTGAGTATTTATGAACCTGAAAGTTCACTTTTGTTCTGTGATATCAAATTTTATTACTATAAATTGGAAAGTGTTTTATGTTTAACAAAACAGAAACGTTAACATTTTGAAAATATGACAGCCTTGATTCTGATCCTAACTTTTTTTTTAATCAGTAAGTTTCATGCCAGTTCTGGGCATTTTGTGAACAAACATGGGCAAATGCCCTGTTTCCCTATTTTTTGCAAGTACTACATTTGGTGACTTTTCAAGAAATATGATCATTTTCAAAGCTTAATAGTATTTGTTCCTCTTCTGTGCTCTCCAAATTACTTGTGTTTATATCTAGTCTTACATTTAGGACATTCACATTCTAATTATCTCTTTTTCTTCTACTAGATTCAGGTACATGACTTAATCTTCTCTGTAGTCTCAGTGCTTGGCACATGGGAGAGGCCTTAAATGTGTATTGARTGATTAATGTCCCCATTTAGACATTCTCAATATAATACATTGGATGTTTTAAAAACTTTCACACTTTCTGAACTGGGTTTTATTCTCGTGGAAAAAAATTGCATTGTATTTAAAATGAAGTTGGTATAATCGATCAAAGTATGTTTCTGTAAAGAACATTCTTTCCTTGTTACCTCTTAATCCAAGAAATGATATCAGAGGGTATTTCCTGATGCTTTGTGAGAAGTGTGTTTACTAATGAAGACCTAGAGCTGACAACAACTTTGAGAACTAATACTCAATTCCAACAATGCTGTGTTCAGTCTTACATTGGATAAAGAAAACAAAAAACTTTTAAGCATTAAGGACCTCACTGTTTTATAAAATCTTAATTATTAGTTTATTTAATTAAAAAAAGTTTTTTGAGACAGGGTCCTGTTAATTGTTGAGACTGGACTTGAACATTTGATCTTCCCGTCCAAGTAACTGGTATTACAGGCATGTTCCACCATGCCCAGTGCCAATATCTTAATTAAAAAAAAAAAAAAGTATTGTAGAAATGATTTGTATTGAAAAAAATTTAGATAATATAGATAATATAAAAAAGAAAGGGAGGAAAATCCCTAATCTTGCTACTCAATAGCCCAAACATTTGGATGAAAAACTTCTAAACATCTCCCTGTATAATTATATTATCCCAATACATGTTTTGTGTTTTTTGGGATTATATTTCTATTTTTCAATCAGCAATGTATCAGGAATATCATTCCATGTCAATACACAGAGATAATGTGTTTTATAATTTGAAATGGCTGTATCATATACTTATTTATATGCATCTTAATTTTCTTATAAAAATCTGCATTCAGAATGATTGACATTGAGGTTGTGTTCACTTTTTTCCCCTCACCTAAACATTCTCCACTAAATTAAAAAAATTTTTTTTTTGTAGTTGTAGCTGGATACAATACCTTTATTTTATTTATTTATCTTTATGTGGTGCTGATATTTCTTTCCTGAGGATTGAACCCAGGGCCTCACACATGCTAGGCAAGTGTTCTACCACTGAGCTACAACCCAACCCCATCTCCATTAAATCTTTTTTTTAAAAAAATATTTATTTTTTTAGTTTTAGGTGGACACAACATCTTTATTTTATTTTTATGTGGTGCTGAGAGTCGAACCCAGTGCCTCACGCATGCCAGGCGAGCACGCTACCGCTTGAGCCACATCCCCAGCCCTAAAATAATGCCTATTTTAAACATTTTTAGTATACATGCTGATAAAGCGAGCACTCTTTAAAACATTTTTTATTTATTTATTTTTTGYWACCTTCCAGAAAAGTTACATCCATTTGTACTCTCCTCAAGTAGTAAGAATGCTTATTTTTCTCAAACCTTTCAAAGCATTGGCTTTTGTTCATTTTCAAAAGTCTTAGCCAAAAAAAAAAAAAAAGCAAAAGATAAAGAAAAGAAAAAGAAAACAATCTTGTTTTATTTATATTTCTTTATATATATATATATATATATATATATATATTAGTTTTCAGCAGACACAACATCTTTGTTTGTATGTGGTGCTGAGGATCGAACCTGGGCCGCACGCATGCCAGGCGAGCGCGCTACCACTTGAGCCACATCCCCAGCCCTTATTTATATTTCTTGATAATTTCTGGAGGTTAATGTATCTATTCTGTATTTATTTTCTTGACAAATATTTTGGTATTTTGCCTGTAGCTCATGGTTGACAGTGCAGAGAGAGAAAACTTTGAGGGACAATGGATGCAAAAGCTCGAAATTGTCTACTTCAACATAGAGAAGCTCTGGAAAAGGACATTAAAACATCCTACATCATGGATCACATGATTAGTGATGGAGTTTTAACAGTGTCAGAAGAGGAAAAAGTAAAAAATCAGGTAAAGCCCTTTGAAGCAATCTGTGCTTTCATAAAAATTTTTAGAATTTAAGAAATTTTGGAACTTTTCATGGGTCTTTCCACTCATTTATGTTGCAGACATATTCATTGCTATATACTAAACTACTTATTTTTTTTTTTAGCCCACGCAACATCAACGAGCAGCTATGCTAATTAAATTGATACTTAAAAAAGACAATTATTCCTATATATCATTCTACAATGCTCTACTACATGAAGGATATAAAGATCTTGCTGCCCTTCTTCATAGTGGCATTCCCGTGCTTTCATCTTCCAGTGGCAAAGATTCAAATGGTGGAATAACTTCATATGGTTTGTACCTTTGATACCTTCTGTCATATTTCTATGATGATGGCTACTACATTTCTTCAGGTTTATCTGTAATCTGAAAAATATGATCAGTTCACTGAAAAATGCATATGAAAAAATTGTAGTGATATTTTCAATTTAGATATTTCGATGTTAACACGTTTTCTTCTCAGGGAGCTATTTGTTGCTGAGATCATATGCAGGCCCTAATTTTTAGAGTTAACCAGACTTTCTAGAAGCCCTTATTTAAGTTCTTTTCTACGTCTCTGTGTTTGTAGAGTTTACAGGAAAGAATAAAAAGATCTATATTCTTGAAAGGAGTTTCATAAATGTTTTCTCCTTTACACTTTTTTTTTTTGCAATGCTGGAGATCAAGCCTAGGACCTTGCACATGCTAGGCAAGCATTCCACCTTTCCCAGTCTCTAGTATGAGACACAGACTGGAGAGTCAGAGAGTCATAGGGTGTATTAGGCAGGTATTGATAGACAATTCCATTGTTTGTAGTCATCTTGAAGGATACATGTTTGCTTTTTTTCTCCATGTTCTGAGAAATCAGAAAGTTGAAGTTAATATGCTAGTCATTTTCTTTTGAAAATTCTGAGGCTAAGACCTTGGTTTGCTCTTTTTAATTTTTTGTGGTATTATGTAAGTAGCCACTTCAAAGTTATATTCATGCATACTTGTTTTGGATTTCAGTAAGGACAGTGCTGTGTGAAGGTGGAGTACCACAAAGGCCAGTTGTTTTTGTTACTAGAAAGAAGCTGGTGAATGCAATTCAACAGAAACTCTTCAAATTGAATGGCGACCCAGGATGGGTCACCATTTATGGAATGGCAGGCTGTGGGAAGTCTGTATTAGCTGCAGAAGCTGTTCGAGATCATTCACTCTTAGAAGGTAAGTTTTGACCTCTGTGTTGGTGGCTAAGAAGATAATTCTTTAGGCATTCTATTAGTTTTCTGTTGCTGCTGGTAATAAATTACCATAAATTTAGTGGCTTAAAACAGAATTTATTATCTTATAGTTCTGGAGTTTTTTTTTTTTTTTTTTAACTAGGCTATAATCAAAGTGTCAACAGGGGGGGGGTCTTCCTTCTTTCATT